ATGGATTGTGTCTCCCAGATAAAGGTACTGATTTACGCACATGAATAAGTTCAGGGCTTGGAGGTTAAGGTTAAGTACTAGTAGCTGGGCATAATGATGCACGCCTTTAATCCCAGCACTCAGGAGGCAAAGGCAGCTGGATCTCTGTGAGTTTGAGGCCAGCCTGGTCTACAGAGTGAGTCCCAAAACAGCCAGAGCTACATAGACCCTGTTTTATGTTTTCTTAGGCACCAGGGACCTTCTCTTTTGGCAGCCTCAGCATATCAAATATATTCACAACCCACAGCAAATGGGAGCCATACAAACATACACATGTATATACATATGTCATGTTGAATTGCAATTGTCTGCTTTGACATGAGTCATATTAATAGATCTTCAATAAAACATGAATTCCTGTGTTGTGCTTTCTTTTCCTATCTTGGAGCCAATAAACTTCTTTGGTTAGTTTTACCAAACAATAAAACAGAGAAAAATGCATAGATCTTATGTATATAGTACACTAAATTTTTAAGAAGTGAGATCCCTGTGCTACCAACTCTCCAGCCCTGAAACAGAAGAGTGGGGGCCTGAGAGTCCCCAGGTCCCTCTCCTCCACCACCCTCAATAGCAAACAGCCATGTTAGTTATTTCTTCGTAGGCAACTGTGTCTGTCTTTGAGCTTGCCCCAGGCTGTGTCTGGCTACTTTTGTGGAGCCAGTGTTCTTAATCCAGGTCTCAGGCTTGGGTCTGAACAGTCGTGTGAAGTGTCAGCTGAGGTTGCCTGTGAGGCATGCTGATGTCTTGAAGCCAGAGCTCAAAGTTTTGGTCTTGTTTGGAGCCCCATCTTCAGCAGTTTGTCCTTGGAGGAATAGAAGGCAAAGGCCCGGTAAGGGTGCTGCCTGCAGGGATCACATGGGAAGTGGGAGAGAGGTTCCCAGACCGGCGGTTCCTGAAGCAATTGAAACTGGCTGTGGGGAGAAAGAGTGGCTGTCTTGGATCTTCTCCTCCCTTCACCCACACCTCTGGAAGCCACAAGCAGCAGCTGCTGGCTTAGTTAGTGTGGTTGAGGAAGTTTTACAGTACCTGAGTGGCTTTTCTTTTGACTCTCGGGTGCAGTACATGATCCCGCCACTTGGCGGCACCTTCGACTTCTGTAAACTCGTTGGTCCTCTTGTCACACAGGCCCTATCTTTAACCACAGCAAAGAACCAGTCCTTAAGTAACAGAAGAAAGCCAGTGCATGCAACACAGGGAGACCATGCACTGAAGGCTTGCCTGGGGTGTGCCAGGATGGTTGTGCCCTTCAAAGGGAACCAGGGATAACCTGTCCTTTGGGGGCTTGTGTATGGTGGTCAAAAGGGGGAAGTAATGACGTGGCTGCCACCAGCCAGAGAGGACAGGCCACTGCGTTAAGAACAGAGGAAGCAGAGAAAGCCACACTTCATCAGATCTGCTAATCAGGTCTCCCCTGCCATTCACTGGGCTGTCCCCTTGGGTCCTACATGCCTGTGAGCACAGCCCATTCATAAGCCTGTGCTACCAGGGCATGGAGGTGCCAGGCCTGCTTCAGAACCCAGACGCAAACAGCCCCAGGTCCTTCCCTGGGAATCTACAGCTCCAGCCTCCAGGCAACTGAGTGGCCTTTAAAGCCAGATACACCCCTGCTCCTTTCTGCAGTTTGCAGGCTCCTTAGATTCAAAGCCAAGCTCTACTACTTCCTATGTAAACTGGAGCAATTTAACTTCTGTACGCCTCATCTGTAGAATGGAGATAGTAATAGACACCATGTAGAGTTCGCTAGAAGGCCTAAGCAATGAATTATGTAGTGGCTTAGCCTAGTTAGGCCCCGACACAAAAGCATTAAACAAATGCTACCATTTTTCTTCCTCTTAAAAAAGATTGTCTTTAAATGTGTATGACTGTTTACTTGCATGTATATCTATGTAGCATGAGTGTGCCAGGTACCAGAGGAGGCCAGAAGGTGCTGGGTCCCTTGGAAATAGAGTTACAGTTGTGAGCAGCCATGTGGATGGTGGGAACTGAACTCAGGTCTTCTGGAAGTGCTCTTAACTGCTGAGCCATCTCTCCAGCATGGCTACGGTTCTATCACTGTGGCCATTGGCATTTGAAAGTGGGACAGTTGAATGCCTCTCAGCAAGTCAAGCACTGGGAGTGGGGGTGTTGGGTGAATGTTTGCCAATTTGGAAATCTCCAGCCTTCTTCAGGGCTTCCTCACTAAACAGCTTGGCTGAGGTTCAAGCCTGACCTCAGGCTACAGCTAACTTCCCACCCAAGCAGAACTCAAGCATGACCCTCCCTGCCAGTGGAGAAGCTCCCCAACCCACTCACATCCCAAGACTGAGCAGAGGCAGAGGCCCAGGCTCCCCAGGGCTCAGGTACAGAGCCAGGTGTCCTGTAGAAGCAGCAAATGGAAACTTCTGAGCCACCTGGAACAATCTTCTACACCACCCAGAGACTACCTCTCCCTTGCTCCCAACCCCAGGACCAGAGCTGTGGTCCCTGTGGCCTAAGGAGGTCCTCTCTGAAACAGACCCTGGCCAGAAGTGTGGTCCAGCCCCACTACAACCCCAGGCAACTTCCCATCTGGGAGGAATTCCCTGTTTTAACTCACTCACCAGCTCTATGACTGAGGACACATTACTCAACCTCTTGGGACCTTTGAGAAGACTCAGCTAATCTTTAAAATCCCCCTTATCCCTAGAATATGGTTTTAGCAAAGTGTCTGGTATATCATAGGTGGTTAATAAATACTTAGTTTTGTGATATCCAAAATATATCTAATATCTAGCTGCTTTCTCCGCTTTTAAAAAAATTGATGTATGCATCTGGCGGGGGCTGTGCACGTCCCATGGTGTATGGAGAGATCAGAGGACAGTTTTGTGGAAGTGGTTCTCTCCTTCCCCCCTTACTCAGGTTCCAGAGCTCAAACCCAGGCCATCAGGCCTGCATGGCAAGCACTGTACCCGCTGAGACATCCTGCCCGCCCATTCTAATCTTCAGTAATGAATGCCCCATGTGATTCAACCCAGACAGTGCCTGACCTAGAGTAAGAGCTCATGAAACAGACCCTACCTAACTCACTGATAAATTACTTTGGGCTTAGCTTTTATCTGAACCTACTGTCTCCACCCAAAGTTGCAAATCCAGCACAGATTAAGGAGTGGAAATGGTGGGATGTCTACCTCCTCCCTGACCCACAAGCTCCAGAGAGACAGAGTTCATCAGTCCTGTGCCGTCTGCCTCTTCTCACACACACACTCACCCCAGCATCTCTGGACTAGGGGAAACAGCATGGAGCCTCAAGCTGGCAAGTCCTTTTATTGGAAAAAGAATCAAACAAAAGGTCTCCATTTTGCCTCTTCCCAACCTTCCCAACAGGATGTGCCAAGGTCAGACACGATGCCTGGCCATACCACAGGCTCGGGAGGGCATAGGCTTCTGCCAGGAGTCTGGGGCTGCAGCTTGGGAAGAAGGGGTTCCTTGCACCCAGGCTCATCAGGCTCAGGCTCCCTGAGGCTTCAGGGCCTTGGCCAGCCCTCTCCATCTCTCTGCATAGTCTCCTGATGCCACATGCTGCCGCTTTGGCCAGTAGAGAAGCAGGCTCTTTCAAGCTCTAGGAAGCTGCCTACAGTGGCTGGTGTTTCCTGTTTACTTCTAGTACCTCCTGCCCGCTGAGGTAGGCAGCCCATTTCTGTCCATATTCATGCCCCAGGATGCCCCCCCACACACACACACACACACTGGCTCCCCCTGGGAGCCACAGCACCATTGGCTGGCCAGCCCTTCTTCTCTTGCGAGGCACATTTGCCTTGAATGTCTAGGGAGTCTCCCCGCAGGACTTCAGGGCCCTGACACCTGGGCAGGCTGAATATGCAGCATCTGTGGCCCCGCTGTGTCATGGGGCCTGGGAGAAGGGCACCAAAGACCACCCAGATGTTGGCTCTGCTCTCCTAGGACCCCAGCCTTTCCTCCATTAGAATGTGCGCAATAGAGCCAGGGTCGAGGAAGGCCAGGAAGAAGAACCAAGCCGAAGCCCAGCCTTAGGACACTGACTGACAGGGCCAGGAGGAACTCACAGGGAGGTGCTGCAGACCACTGTGTGACAGGACAGGGCAGGACGTGGGAGTCATTAGCCCAGCAGCCAAAGAACACACAAAGTAACCTCTCTCTCCACACACACATGCTCATTACACATAAACATTCATACTCACACACCTGCACTTATGTACAAGCATACCTAACTTGCACACAGGTACGCACATATACACTCACATTCCCACTCATTCACTCAGATAAACATAGGTTCGTGCACACATGTGCACACACCCACTCACACTCACTTGTGCAGTCACACACATACACTCACTCACATTCACACACTTGTAAACTCACATGTGCACATGCTTTCCCACCCATAAACCCACACACATACATTTGTGCACACAGTATGCACACAATGCAGGAATTGGCTCCAGTTCAGGAGTTCAAGCTCTGTCCAGCTGCATTCATCCACAGGGTTTTACCATATCCCAGTGGAACACCACCCCCCAGAGTCCCAAGCTGAACACCCATAACCAGCTCCTGGTGGGGTGCAAAGTCTCTGAGTTGGGTATATCTTGGCAAGGCTGAGAGGACTTTCCGCTCTGAGGGAAGGACAGGAAAGCCACACACAGCCTTAGGAGCAGCTGGATAGCTCCCAGGGCACCCATCTCCCCAGATCTCCAACGAGGAGGTGGGATCATTGACAAGCAGGAGCCTCATGGTAGCCTTGGGCCTTAGAAAGAGCCCAGGGCAGAGTCCAGGTAGACATGGGCTTTGACGGTGAAGGATCATGCAGGGTGGGAATTCTCCAGGTCCTCCTTGGAGTGGGGGGAAAAGGCAAAGAAGAGAGGGTTCATCTAAGCTGGGTTTCCCCCACCCTCAGACTTCCCTAGGAAAGCCTGGCTCTGATGACCCGGACCAGCCCCATGGGAGAAAGAAAGGTCCAGGGTCAGAAAGAGGAAGATCCCGCCAAGGGACAAAGGACTGGGGACACGGAACAGCGGGTAGTCACCCTCCCTCCGGCGCCACACGGCAAGGTGGGCCCAGAGAAAGACTCAGAAGCGGGTGCTCTGGTAACGCAGCCTCCGGAGATCTGCCAGCCCCTCGCTCCGGCCGTACACCTCCCTGCGGGGACTCTCGGCCAGTCACCGGGCCCCCGCCCCACCCCCGCCGGCGCTGCTGCTGCCGCTGCCGCTACTGCTGCCGCTGCTCGAACTGCCGCTGCTGCACCGGTCCTCATAGATGGAGATCTCGATCTGGGGTGATGGTTAAGGAGCTGCGCACACTCAGCTGTTAATTGGGAAAGGGGGTACAGACCCAGAATGAGACCTGTGACCGAAGCCCCGCTATGCCCAATAGTAGATACCAGAAGGCCTGAAGTCCCTGTTGTAGAGTATTATTTTAAGGTGTGTGTTACCTTTGTTTATGTTGCATTTGTTTAACTCTGGGAAACTGTGTTACTGTGCCTGTCTAAAACACCTGATGGTCAAATAAAGACCTGAACAGTCAATAGCAAGGCAGGAGAAAGGATGGGTGGGGCTGGCAGGCAGACAGGAGAAATCTGGGATAGAAGTCTGGGAAGAGTAAAAGGAAGGAGCCAAAGAAGGAGGAGGACTCCAGGGGCCAGCCACCCAGCTACACAGCAAGCCACAGAGTAAGAGTAAGATTTACAGAAGTAAGAGAACAGGAAAAGCCCAGAGGCAAACGGTAGATGGGATAGTTTAAGATAAGGAAAGCTGGCTAGAAACTAAGCCAAGCTAAGGCCAGGCATTCATAAGAAAGAATAAGCCTCCATGTGTGATTTATTTGGGAGCTGGATGGGGGGCCCCCAAAAGAATGAAAACAAACAAGTCCCAACTCTTCTCCAAGCCTCAGCTAACCTTTTCTGAGAGGACACGGGGCTGAGTGCACAATGGGGTCCCATGCTGAATTTATCCTTCCTCGAGATGCATTATGGGATTCCAAGGCACAGATGCACCAGGAAATGGAGTTACATACATACAAACACTTGCGTTTGCTGATCCCTACTGGCCCACTCAACTTCGGCCAGTTCCTTCACCTGCTAACCATCAATGATCACATCTTCAAACTGGGGGCACTACAGAGCCTTGGGACTCCTGTGTAAATTAAATGGACTCTCTGAGTGCTAAGCACAAAAGAAGCGTGGGGAAAACGTGTTTCTAGGGATTGTTTTCTGAACTCTTCTCTCAGCTTTATTGTAAAATGCATTGTTTTAACTATTCTACTTCTGTTGCTACTGAAAGGGGGTCGTTCACCTGAACAACCGTTCCAAATGGGGGCAGCAGAACTAGCATCCACCCCCTGCCCAGCCTTTCACTAAGACAGCCAGCCCAGAGGCGCATCCCCATCCTGGACCTCATCTCTCTCATCTGTGTTCAGTGGGTGGTGGGGTCAATATGGAATATTAAGTGAGATTGTGGAAGGCTTGCAGATTCTTTGAGGACCAGACAGCATTGCAGGTTCAGAGAGCCTGGGCTCAAACCCTGACTGACAATCTGCTGCTTAAAGGTAAGTGACAGAGCCGGGCGGTGGTGGCACACGCCTTTAATCCCAGCACTCGGGAGGCAGAGCCAGGCGGATCTCTGTGAGTTCGAGGCCAGCCTGGACTGCCAAGTGAGTTCCAGAAAAGGCGCAAAGCTACACAGAGAAACCCTGTCTCAAAAAACCAAAAAAATAAATAAATAAAAAATAAAGATAAGTGACAGCCAGCTCACTTTCAGTGTCCTGGTATACACAGGAGGGTAAGAAGGGCCCACCTCTTGGGGATGTGATAAAAATCACATGAGATTGTGGTTTTCAAAGCCTTTATATGGTGGCTGGCCTATATTAAGCACTGATGGCATACAGTTCAATAAATACAAAGCCTGAAACTCACAAGTGGCCCCAGTGACCGAAAGTGGAAGGGTTCCTATGACCAGCGATGTGTGGAATCCTTGAAGGATCCGGGGAAGCTCCTATTTCCTAGTAACATCCTCAAGGGGCCCACTGGGTAGACAGCTCTGCACCCTCGCACAGAAGAGCCTGGAAGGATACAACCCTCATCCCACGTTCCACAGGATCCGTGAGCAGGAGCCCTCGAGGAGCAAAGACCTTCTCGTTCTGTTCCTGGATGTAACGGGAAATCTTCTTGAGAACCTGCAGAAACAGGGGTCCATAAGGATGAGTCTATGGCAAGGAAGCCGGGGGAGGGGAGGTGGGGAAGCACCACCTTCTCATAGTGGGTCTCCATGCAGAGGAAGATGAAGTAGGCTGTCGCACAGGCCAGGCAGCCCTCCAGGTAGGAGCTGCCCCCGATCTTCTCAGCCTCCGCATAAAAACCATTGAGGGTCTTCACGGTCTCTTCAAAGAGCTGCCGCTCAATCTGGAGGGAGAGAGGCAGACTGTTAGCCTCCCCAAAGTGGGGACAATCCCAGGTGGGGCTGGGATAACATCGCTGGGGCCACGTGAGTGGGAGGCGGTGAAATATTGGTACACAGGCATGACCAAGAAGTGGCAGGCAAGGCAGAGCCCAGGAAGCAGGAGACCTGGAGTCCGTCCAGACGTGTCCATGAACTAGATGTGTGGCCCTGCACCGGGGCTTGCCCGTGCTCTGTTGGTTTCCCCATCTGTGGGATGGGAACAAGCATGGCTATTGGGAACAGGAAACTCACCGTCCTCATGCAGGGACCCTTTAATACAATCTTCATGTTGTGGTGACACCCAACCATAAAATTTCCGTTGTTACTTCCTAACTGTAATTTTGCTGCTGTTGTGAATCATACCGTTAATACCTGATATGCAGAATATCTGATATGTGACCCCTGTGAAAGGGTCGGTTGACCCCCCCACAAAAGGGTCTCAACCCACAGGTTGAGAACCACTGTCGTAGATGTTTTACGCAGAAGCTCAGAGAAGTATTTTGGTGACATCGGCTCCCACTGTGATGGTTGTGCCAGAGCTCAACAGCGAATTCCCACAAGCAGATTCTCCAGATTTGGAAGGGGTTTCAGCTGCTTGTGATTGTAGTGGTATTGTGTTCCCCAAAATATTGTGCACCCTAATAAACTTATCTGGGGTCAGAGACAGAACAGCCACTAAATACAAAGGCTAGAAAATGCTGGCACTCACACCTTTAATCCTAGCACTCCAGAGGTAGAAATCCCTCTGGATCTCTGAGAGTTCAAGGCCACATTGGAAATGGCCAGGCATGGTGACACATGCCTTTAATCCCAGAAAGCGAGCCTTTAATCCCAGGGAGTGATGGTGGAAAGCAGAAAGGTATATAAGGCATGAGGACCAGAAACTAGAAGCATTTGGCCTGCTTAAGCATTTGGCTGGCTAAGCATTCAGGCTTTTGAGCAGCAGTTCAGCTGAGACCCATTCTGGATGAGGACTCAGAGGTCTCCAGTCTGAGGAAACAAGATCAGCTGAGGATCCGGCGAGGTGAGGTAACTGTGGCTTATTCTGTCTCTCTGACCTTCCAGTGTTCACCCCAAAACCTGGCTCAGGTTTGATTTTATTTATAAGAACTTTTTTTTTCGTTTGCCACTTTTTAATGTTACTACAAAGTGTGCTTTGTGCTTTTTCAGGTAAAATCAGCTTGTTCTAATTACATTTATAAAGCTTAAAAGCTTCCCCTGTTTACCTGTTTCAGCATTTTTTTTATTTTTATTTTGCAATACAATTCAGTTCTACATATCAGCCACAGATTCCCTTGTTCTCCCCCCTCCCGCCCCCCTCTCCTTCCCCCAGCCCGCCCCCCATTCCCACCTCCTCCAGGGCAAAGCCTTCCCCGCAGACTGAGATCAACCTGGTAGACTCAGTCCAGGTAGGTCCAGTCCCCTCCTCCCAGGCCGAGCCAAGCGATCCTGCATAGGCCCCAGGTTTCAAACAGCCAACTCATGCAATGAGCACAGGACCCGGTCCCACTGCCTGGATGCCTCCCAAACAGATCAAGCCAATCAACTGTCTCACCCATTCAGAGGGCCTGATCCAGTTGGTGACCCCTCAGCCATTGGTTCATAGAAGAACTTTTAAGACTCCTGCTACATGTGACTGACAGAGGGAGCTCTGGAGAGCCCCTCCTGGAGCACTTTCTTCCCTGCTAAGAAGTCACTAGCCGCCATAGCCGCTGTGTGTGTGTGTGTGTGTGTACGTGCGTGTGTGTACGTGCGTGTGTGTACGTGCACAGCTAGGAAGTTGGCCTGTATCCATAACAATAGGAAACACTAAGAACTCTAAGCACCAGCCTTTTCATGAACTCTCATATAACCTCAAAAGCATTCTTGTCACCCCCACTCTCTGACAGGTGAGGATTGCTCTGTGTTCCTGAGACCAAAGAGCCCTGGGGCCTCATCTCTGGCCTCCCTGCCCCTACCACTGCTAACTTCCTGTAAAGGACAGGCATGCTTACTTGAGAAGGAGATGCTCAAGGTTTTCCCAGAGTCCTTGGAGGTTCAGCCAGCAAAGACCAGCCATGCCTCACCTTTCAAACCTCCTCAAATCAGCCTGGCCTACAACATAGACCAGCACTGGGTCTAAGGCAGCCCCCGGTAGGGACTGGACACCCTCAGAAACAGGGGCAGAGCACAACCCTTGGCTGACTACCTTAGATGCCACCAGCAGATGAAGAGGAGACATCAGACTCCCTCCACTCGTTTTATAAGACAGGTAAAAACAAGATGGAAAGCAGCCCCCAGTTCTCCCTCTGGGTCTCTAAGCTTCCCTGCCATAGCTCTGATCACACAGTCTCTACTTCCATCTGTACCGACTGGGGATGCATTTGCATCCGTCTTATAATCAGAGGCCAGTGGAAAAGCAGAGAAAGCGGGCACCTGGCTCTTCCAGTACTTTCTAATAACTTCGGTGAGTCACTTCCTGCTTCCAGCCCTGAAAGACTCTTCTGCTTCTGAAGCTGCAATGTGTGCGTGGCGCAGCCTAAGGATCTGGCTAAACCACGTTCATATTTGGGAGCTCTCAGGTGGGCTTGGCACCTTGCATTGTGTCTGAGTTCCCAGGTGATGCTGACCCTGTCAGCCACAGGGCACGAGTTTGAAACAAGGGCTTGGTGGTCATGCTCAGTGCTGGCTGCACAGTAACATCACTTGGGCAGTTTTTAAAGCCAACCCTGCACCCAAATCTCAGCCCCAAAAGGTGAGGACTCAAATAGTCTGGACGGGGAGGGATAGGTCAGAACAGCAAATACTGCTGTCACCTTCTCCTACCCAAGTAGATGCCTTGTCTGGTCCCCCACTTCCCAACCCAATTACAAGTGGCCCCAATCCAGCCAAGAGTGGGAAGAGGCAAGCTACTGCCCAAGCAGGATCTAGGGACCACTCAATTCCTGCTCACCTGAGAATTCCTCATTAAGAGTTGAAGTTTGAACAATTATAATTAAAAATAATTTTTAGTTAACTTAAAAATTAATTTGCAAATTAAGATGTAAAACAATGCCAGTGCCCAGGCCCTACTCCCAGAGATTCTGATTAATGTGCTTTAGGGTGCACTGAGATTTTTTTCAGCTCCTCAGAAAATTCTAGTGTGCAAGCCAAGGCTAAGGACAGCTGACAAGTAGAGATTCCTAAGCCACAGGCCAGCAACTGAGTCAGCAAGTCTGAGTAACACCCGATCTAAGCCACTAGGACTCTGAAATTTACATTTGTTTAACAAGTTTTCTAGAGACATTTCATGCAAGGGTAATTTGAGCTGCTGGACTGGAACAAGTCTGAGGTTTTGTGTTGTGTTTTGTTTTTCCAGAGAAGTTTCTCTGTGGAAATGCAAGACGACTCTTCCCTTTGAGGCAGCTAAGTCCTGCATTTTGTGGTATTATGTGTCACATAAGACTGGTGGGAAAAAAAAATACATTCTAAGAAGACACACACACACACACACACACACACACACACACACACACACACACACCCCAGTGCCATCATGGAAGTAGAACTCATGTTTAGATAAAGGTATCCTCACCCAACAGGTGCCCTTACCCGGCTATCCAGCTCTGGGGGGAATTTGGTCTGGAACTGACAGATGGTACCATCACTGTAGTCTCTCTGGATAAAGACCTTAGTGGCCAGTGATGCGCTTCGCCGGAGCTCCTGAAGATTGTGGACCTGAGGAGATAGGCAGGAGGAACACACTTAGGGGACCATCGTCTCACTGTACTGATATGGAGGGCTCTCCAGCATTCCTGAATCCTGGCGCACAGGGATGGGCTGGCCACACAGCCAGGCTCCAGGAGGGGCGAAGAGAAGCAGGCCCTGTGCAATTTACATGAGAAGCTGCCTGAGGTCATCTCAACGAGTCTGCAAAAGCCTAAAGCAGGAGCAAAAGTGAGCCAAAATGAGACCCTCAGAGCCGTCAATCACAGCAGCAACTCGTCCTAACGAGAGAAGCGAGGTGGAATGGCAGCTGGCCCTGTCCTTGGAGAACTCAGCATTGGCCAGGATGGAAACCTTAGGCCCTAAAGGTGGAGTTCACAACCAGACTCGGGAGTGGGGCGTGAGGAAGAGAGGAAGCCCTGATGTGTCCCTGAACTCCGAGGGAGACTGAGGTCCAGGCCAAGTTTTGAAAGGCCAGGGAGCACCCCCAGTGGTTTTCTGACCCCAGTAAAAGGCCCAGGAATGGCTATTTCCCAAGAGACAACAGTACAAAGTGGACTGGGGCCAGAAGCTGAAGTAATGAATAGGTTTCCTTGATAGGAAGGAGAAGGGTGACTTGTCTCTCCACCCGCTCTGAAAACTTGACATTGACCTAGCACTTGAGGAGAGTGGGCTCCATTCCACAGAAGAACAAGGTCTCGTTCTTCTACCTCTCCAGCCTCAGTCACTCATGCTGGAGACAGACACCTCATTGGTGAAATACGCCCAGCATTGGAACCACATGGAGACCAGGCCCTGCAGGCAGAGTGAAGAAACAGCAGTTCATCCTGTGTAATTAAGCTGAATCCGTTCCGTCACTCTACTCTCATTTATTGAGTCCCTACTAGTGCCGGGCTCTCCAGATGCTGAGCAAAAGTCAGTCTATGGGCTCCAGGGAAGAAGACAAATAATGTGTAATGAATTAGACTGTGATGGATGGTTGAAACAAAGTCACATTTGCCCAGAAATGCTTATTCACAAAGGCTTCCTGGAGACTGTACTGAGTCCTACAGGAAGGCTAGGGATTAGCAGTGGTAGGGGCTGACCGGAAGTAGAAAGGGGAGGAAAGGGTGACCCTGGGAAAGGGGGTAATGAAGACAGCAGAACCTGATCTGCTGCAGTGGCCTGAGGCAGCGTTTAGCAAGACCAAAGCTGGTTTGCAGAACAGATACAATCAGTGGGAATGAACATGTACTGCAGTCGGGGGTTGAGATCACACACAGGATGGGTCTCTGCCGACAGGAAGGATTGCAGGTGGAGACCCTAACAGCTGAGGGAAAGAGTAGAGAGGGGCTGACAAGACAGAAGGAGTGGACGGTTGGTCTATCAAGGTCTGAGAAATGTAGCAATCAGAGAACATTACATGAGGCTCTCCTAAATTCAGGTAAACTTTGTAAGCAGGAGTTTTGATCTCAAAGTTTTGAGAATGAATTAAATAGCATGTAAGTGCTCCTCCAGTTTTAGTATTTCTTGATCCCACTAGCCAGGATCTTTGTTGAAAAATCCCCTTTTAGCTGGGTGTGATGGCATACACCTTTAATCCCAGCACTCGGGAGGCAGAGGCAGGCAGATCTCAGTGGATTCAAGGCCAACCTGGTCTACAGAGCAAGTTCCAGGACAGCCAGAGCTGTTACATAGAGAAACCCTGTGGGGGGTGGGGGAGTCCCCTTTTAATAGCTACTAGAATCTTTTGGTAATTTTTTTAAAAATCAACATACTTTGGTAATATAACTAAGTCTCTCATCAATGTCTCTGTTCCGTCTGGTTATGGTTTCACTACAATTCATTTTCACGAGAAAAGAAAAGGGTTGTGGCCTTCCCTGCCCTTCCAAAGACAGCATACAAGAGCCAGCCATGGATTCCTTCAGCTCTGGAAGGGTCATTCTGGCAGTTTTGCAACAGTGGGTAAGCCTAAGGAGCCCCGCTGGAAGGAGATGAGGAGGAGGTGAGGAGAAAGAGAACGGAAAGAAGACAGAAACAATGTTTCCACCGTTCTGACCTGGACTTGGCTTCCTGCCACAGGCAACATCCTTTGTCTGAGCCTGCACACACACCTGTGTATACACACCTGTGTATACATCGATGTAGGCGGTACGATGAGCCATGACAGTGTGTCTCTTAGTGACTGGCTGTCTGATGACCAGCTATTTCTTCTTCCTCCTGGGAATACAACTAAATTCATTCCAAGGCTTCCTTGCAAGTTGTAGTGGCCACATGCTGAGCAGAGTGAATGGAACTGATGAATCTCCTATTTGACCCATACAGACCAGGAACGCCTCCCTTCTCCCAAAAGCAGAGGGGCCAGGTATTGCAGACAGTGGAACTGGAAAGGGCTGGGTCCCTGAATGGCCGCTCGGAGGACATCTGCCTGCTGATTGGGAGCCCCCCATTCAGGACTTTACTGAGAAGGAAGTAATCTTCAATTATTAAGACAGCAGCCTTACAGTCTTACGTAATACAGACCTATTTCCTCTTGACTGATTCATTCAGTCTCAAGTCCCTGAAGTGGAAGAGGTCAACACCTTCCCTAGCCACAGCGGTATCCTGAACCTAGGAGCCTGTCCTGGCTCCAGGTAACTAGGCATCTGCTTCTGTCCCTAGAGAACATATGTTGGGCAGTGGGGAGTCTGTAGAGGAGCAGATGAGATACATTTTATATGTAAGCACCTTGGCATGCCAGACCTACATGGCACACATATCACACGCTCCAGCACAGTCGGTGAAGAGCAGTATTTTAGGCAAGAAAGGGTCTCCTGGTTCTCTCCATCTATGGTGTTCCATATGAAGTACCAAGATGGCCTGCTGAGCACAGTGGCAGGAGGCTGACCCCGGGCCACATGACCCTTGAAAAGTCTGCCCTTCTCAGACCCCCATTCCTTCAAAGACACTAATCTGGAACCCCGTCATCATAACCCCTCACATCTCTGACTTCAAAGAAGCCTTATCAGCAATGGTGAACATAAACATTTCCAGAGGCAGAGCAGTCAGTGGGCTGGGTTGGGCCTGTGTCTAATAAAAGAGCTTGTGACCTGTGTCACAGAGCCAGCTGGCTATTGCCACTGAAAATGCACACCCAGGTACCTGGCACTTTTGATTTTTTCAAGAGAAGTCACAAACCCAATTTTTTTCTTAATATCAGGTATCCTGATTTCTAAATATTTCCAATGATTTTTTAAACATGTGAGCACTAAGCAGGTTAAATAAGGCTCACCTACGAATAAACACTTGACTCCTACAGCTCCAGTTTGAAAATAAAGACAGAGGCTTGAGCCAAGTCCCAAACACTTACAGTCAGCTTCTTGGGATTCTGGAAACAGGAAGGAGTTCTTACAGCAACACCCAACACTCCCTGAGGCTGCAGATTCTGTGTCTCCCTCAGCAGCGCCCCCTTAGAATCTCTCCAGGGGAATCTTAGATGGTTCTGAGAACTGAGCTACTCCCGATATTTCAATATCTTCAGCCCTGCCCCTCTCTCCCATAGTCATTCCGCAGCCTGCTGGTAGGTAAGGCCAAGACCAAGCTTCTTTCCTGAGGAGGAAACTCAGTGGTGAGATCTGTGGGTGCCACTTCCCACAGTGTGACAAGGAATGGTAGAATACCTAGAGATGCGACACAGCAGGTCACACAGTGTGTCTCCATACACCTGGCAGTCAGTCCTCCAGTCTGGGCTTGTACAGAGCAATCACTGGAATGCAATGAGCTCCTGGACCTGGTATGCCCAAGACAAACAGGAGGTCCCAGCTGGTCCACAGATCCATCCTCACTTGAAACCATCTCATTCCATAAGGTACAGGTGAGGCACAGCTCACGAGTTATGGGATCCATATGATAACAAACGCTGGGCTGGGCTGTAGTGGAGAAGTGCAGATCATGAGTCACTGGCAGCCAGGTAGGACCTGAAGGTGGAAAACTGGGCACAGGGCCACCCTTCTCCTCAGCCTGCTCCACTCAAGCTCAAGCCAGTGACTCAGAGATCAGACCTCCAAATACCCTGCCTGGGTAATGCACTTCAACATCTCTGATGCACCAAAACCCACTTCGAGAAGCCCCTCCAACGAAAGGCACTTCCCAGCTGTGCTTGGTCATTTAGACTGTTTCCCAGGCAGACCCGCATTTGCCAAGATCTGCTGCCCAAGAGATGGGCTCGGGAAAGCTCTCCAAATGAGATCAGGGCCTCATCCAGGAACCTTTCTCCCTCCTCTGTGTTCCTCACACACCACCCCTCCCCTAATGCTAACTTCTAAATGGAAATCAGGAAGCCATTTCCCCCTCCCCCTTCTCTCTCCTTTTTTTCCTCTCCTCTCTCTTCCTGTCTTCTTTTCCCCTATAGCTCAGCTCCTTCTTCAGAATGCTAAGGAACTTGGAGTGAGGATTTCCTTCCCCTAACAGGTTTTTCCTGGTACTCTCAATCCAATCCTAATAGTAAAAACCAGCCTAGGGGGATGACTCACCCTGGCCCAGGCACCAAACACCCTGTGCCCTGGCAGAGCCTGGGTTTCTTCCCTCGGCACTGCTAGTGGAGTCCAGTCAAGGCTGAGCTGTGAGGTTGAAAACGTTTCCTGCCCATCCTAGACATCCTTCTGTCCCTCTGTCCTCCAGATGACCAGCCAGGCCAGTCAGGGAACCTGAGTGCCTCTAGCTCAGTGGTTCTCAACCTTCCTAATGCGGCAGCCCTTTAACACAGTTCCTCGTGCTGTGGTGACTCCCAACCATACAATTATTTCTGTTGCCACTTCATAACTGTAATTTTGCTACTGTTATGAATCACAATGCAAATATCTGATATTTCCAATGGTCTTAAAGGGGTCACGACCCACAGGTTGAGAACCATTGCTCTAGCTCTTCCTGACATACCTTTCCTAACTCAAAGCCCCACTCAAGACCCCTAGCATTCTCCTCTAGTAAGCACCATACTGGCTAATTGGACACACTATCCTGGTTGCAAAGGAACAAAGAGAGTGGTCATGGGAGCAAGATGAGTTATTGTCTTAGCACTGCAGTGGCGTCATCTGTAAAATGGGATGATGAAGCTTTCTTTGACTCCTTCACCAGACTGAAGAAGCTTCCAAGCCTCAGTTGTCTCATCTGCTAATTGCAGATAATAACACTATCCTGGTCCACTTCACAGAGCTGCTCAAACCCTCAAAGGCGTTCTGTGGGCCACGGTGCCGTGTCCACAGAGGCATTATGAGCAGAGCCTCTCCCAGGGGAGAGTCATCAAGCCTACCAACAGCTTCCTGGAAACCTGGCCTCAGCCAGGAGGTGTGAGCCTGTGGGCAGAATGTGTGGGCCACAGCAGACCTGTAGAGAAGAGACACTGTGACAGCCGGGCCTGTCGGGATCCATCAGATCACACTAGCAACCGCTGCTGCAGTCTGGCAGGCCTATCTGGAAGGTGACCAGCCCCTTGGCTCCTCTGGGCTCTTCTCCCTCTCTGTGTGCTTCTGAAGTACTCTGCATTCCTCTAGCAGGCAGACGTGCCTGCACATGGGGTTCTGGGAGGGCATGAGTCCCTCCTAGCTAACCTGTATAACATCAGAAGGCAAACAACGCCAAGCAACATCAGGAGATGCCGTGGGATAATGGCCACAGCACTTGGTACTGATGTCATGCCACTCACCAGGAAGCCCAGAGGCACTGCACGGAATCATTCACAGGCCCTTGCCTTCCTCCTTGGCAGTATTCCAGCTAGGCTGGAAATAGGGAGACACCACAAAAGAAGGCAGCAGCAGAACTGGGGAGTCCCAGTGTGCTGAGTTACACTCCAAAAATTCAAAGAAAAACTTTCAACTCTGCTCTTAGCATGCTGTGTGAGTACCAAACCCATCCTTTTTTCCATATGTCAGCTTTATCATGTATAAAGAGCTCACATCTCCAGCACAAATGGGGGCAGGGGGGAGCCTCTAGGGGTAGAGACAAAAATCCTGATTTCTTAAGCACTGTGACAAGATTTTGCCCTTAGCTAACAGGTCCCTTGGTCCATAGGCACACTGTGAAGAAGGCAGCCTCTCCCCATACACAGGCAAATGTGGGCACTCTGGGACCAGCAACTCAGGCAGAGAAGGAGAGCAAGGGATGATGATTCTCAAAAGTGGGGGCTGGTGCAGGAAGCTCTTAAAACCAACCCTTTGGGTTCTGGGCCCGAGGATGTCTTTGTCCACGCCCTCCTCCTCCTAAGGAAATGCGGATGTAGAGGAAGGTCTGTCTTCCTTAGTCAAGCATTTTGGGTTAGAAGCAGGATACTGCACCACATAGCAACAGCAGCAGTAGGCCACCTCCCCTCCCCTTATACAGGCGTGCAGGGATCTCCAACCCTCCAGGGAATCAGAACCCTGTGTCAGGAGAAGGGGAAATCCCAGCCTAGGCTGGGACCTGGTGCTATTGGTAACAAGTGGACTCTCCAGGGCTCAGGGTTGCATGGGCAAGATTGACATGCCGGAAATGCGGGGACCACTACCCAAAGCCTGCTCTTCTGAAGCCCTGCCACTCCATACCTGCCCCCCACAAACCTGGGGAAACACCCCCTACCCCCACCCACCCCCGCCTTCTCCTTGCGCCCAGTTTGCCCCTAGTGGGCATTCCTGCAGTATTGCCTGCGGGCTAAGTTGCTGGCCCCTACCTCAGTGGCCATCTTCAGAGGGTACTGACCACTCCTAGGCGGCCTCAGGGCTGGCCCAGGGGGGCTGTCCGCGGTGCTGACTTGGAGAGCTGGTGGGCTGGCCGAGGCCCGCAAGGGCCCGGGTGCTGTCCGCGGTGCTGATGAGATCGCCGAAGCCCGAGACGAGCTCCTGCGGACAGCAGGGTCCCGGAGAGAGGGTCTGTGCTGTCCACGGTGCTGATGCGGGAGCCGGGCCGGGGAGGCGAGGCCGCGCCCGAGGCTCCTCACCGCCCGATCGCCTGCTGCCAGGGCTCCTGCAAGCAATGGCCCGGTTTATCTTTGACAGCGGCAGTAGCGGCGGGTACGGGGGCGGCGGGGGAAGGAGGGGCCAGTGCCTCGGCGGGCGGGGAGGGGGAAGCCGAGGCCCCCAGACTCCGGCACCCGCCGGAGAGGAGCCCCGCCCGCGGCCACCCGCTCCGCTCCCGCCCCGCCCCGTCCCGACCCCGCCCAGCGCCCCGCCTCTCCTGCCTGCCCTCCCCCTGCAGAAGAGCCTAGTGCTCTGCGCAAGCTATCACCGCCTCCCGGGACTTCCAGAGGCGGGGAAGAGAGGCTGGACTCTGCCGCAAGGCACTCCAGTCTGCAGGAACGGACGTCCCGACCGGCCTCTCCAAACACCTACATCAGACTCTAACCCCTCCCCCACCCTGCCCCTGGCCGCCTCTTTTTTTTCTTCTCTCTTTTCTGTCTCTCCTCTCCCCCCCCCCCCCCACACACACACTTTTTCTAGCCTGATTTATCTCTATACACTCTCCAAGCACCACCCGGCCTTACGCGGACATTTCTTTCCTCTCTTTTCTGCTCTCCACTTCCTAGAACCGCATTAGCTAGAAGGAGATGCTGTAGATCACAGAGAGTCCTTTTTTTTTTTAATATTTGCACATATTTCATTCCCAACTTTGCCCTGGAGTCCCTTTTTTCAAGGAACTCTAGATGGAAACCAGCCTGTCTTTACCCTCCTCCTGGCCCTAGGCTCCACACCTTACTCTTCTCTCTCCCCTCTGAAATCCCAGAGTTTACACACACACTCTCCCATTACCACCACCAGTCAGAAACCACAAGCAGAGTGCCAAACCGGTATGCCCACTGTCCAAGGTGGCAATCTGGCATCGGGCCTTCCAGTCAAATGGCTTATCTACTTAATAAGCAGGAAGGAAGCCCCAACACGGAGGCCCTTGAACATACCCATAACACCCCCAGGTCTGTCTGAGGGGAGCTGGGTACCATCCTCTACAGCATGGCTGCCACAGGTCAGCAGCAGCAGCCGCCACACACATGGGGAGGTGAGACAGCCAGAAGACCCGATTCCAGTTCAGGGAGTGACGGTGTCACCTTCTGAGCCTATGTCCTCTTTCTGCAGAATGTACTCGTTGACCTCACTGGCCTATAGCTAGGGTCCTTTCTTTTTCCTTCACAATTTTGTTTTAAAATTTCCAAACATACAGGAGAGGTTGAGGAGGGAAATGTCACAAACGATACTATCTAACTGCTTCCACAACTGTTATTTTTTTTACCACATTTGATTTGTTTCACTGATGGAAATAGAAGCAATCTAACTAGATTATTAGAAATCAATAAGTTCTACAGTTTTATCCTTAAGTATTTCTGCATTCATCCCTTCAGACCAAGAACACTTTCCTAAACCAGGTGTGATGGTACGTGCCTCTAATTTCAGCACTCAGGGGTCTAAGGCAGGCAGGGATACATGAGATCTTGTCTCAAAAAAAAAAAAACAACAACACTCTCCTAACTAATCACAATATCATTATCATATCTTTTAAAATTCCATAGTAACCCTCTTATTTTAGAGTAGTTTGTTGCCCCCAAAGACATATTAATAGCAATTCCTCCAGAACTTTCTATTTTTAATAACAAACATTTAGGGATCACTTACTGTGTACCAGATGATATGTTCCACACTGCATATGTATTTTGTAAACCCCACAACCACTGTGAGTTAAATGTTCTTTTTAAATTTTTTAAGTCTTTCTCTGTATATCTCTCTGTCTGTCTGTCTTTCTCTGTCTCTGTGTGTCTGTCTGTCTGTCTGTCTGTCTCTCTCTCTCTCTCTCTCTCTCTCTCTCTCTCTGTGTGTCTCTGTGTGTGTGTGTGTGTGTGTGTGTGTGTGTGTGTGTGTGTGTGTGTGTGTGTGGTGAATTTGTGTTGGGAGTACCAAGGTATGGATGCCACAGAGCCTGTAAGAAGGTCAGAGGACAACCTGGACTGTCAATCTCCTGGACTGTCAATCTCCTGGACTGTCAATCTCCACCTTCCTTCCACGGGGTCGTGTGTTTGCCATCGCAAACACCAGACTACCTGGCCCATCTCACCATATGAGCACTGCGGTTCCAGGCAAGCCACATCTGGCTTTTTTACACAGATTTTGGAGATTTGAACTCAGTTCTTCACACTTGCATAGCAAAAGCTTTACCCACTGAGCCATCTCCCCAGCCCCATTTCCATATTATAGTCATCTTTTTATTATTCCAACTCTACAAAGAAAGAGGCGGAATAAGATGCCCAAGGTCTCCTATGAGAAGGATTTAGACAAAGGCAGTCAAGCTCTAGAGGCCATGTGTGGCTTGTCCCCTAATTACACTGCCTCGTTTGCTGGCAGAGGTCCAACATCTCCAACTGCCAATTTTTCATAAGAGCACATTGGGTCTCTAAGACATGCCAAAAACAGCTAAAGGCAGATATTCTGGTCTACCTCATAACTCCAAAAGTGTTTTGGCATTAATGTGCAAGCTGAAACTATCTGCAAATCCCATGATGGTCACTGCTAACAAGTGAGCCCATCCAGTGGTGTCCATGACCTCACTGTCCCTCTCACTTGACGTCATATTAATTTGACATTCATGTGAAAATCACCCTGTTCACCCAGTGGCTAGAAGGAAGCCATTCAATGAATCCATTGTATCTTTGTTGAGTACTAGACTGTATAGACTGGGGATACGGCAATGACTAAACACACAGACTATTCTTACTTGCAACATATGAGGAAATAAGTTCAGTGCAGACTTGTGATCATTGCTAGAATGTAAAGTGAGCTGTGATAAGGACCTGGTGACAGGCGGAGGTTATTTCTGAAGGAATACTCAGGGGAAAACTTTCTTCATAAGGTCAAATTTGGGCAGAGGTCTGCAAGGAGAGAGAGAAATAGACATACAAATACCTAGGAAAGAGCAACAAGGCAGAAAGGGCAGAGTTCAAGAGCCCTGAAAAGGACCGGGGCCTAAGGTGCCCAAAAATAGCTCCATGGGGTAGGGAAGGCTGGGGAGAGAGGGGGATCTGTGGTTGGTATGTAAGATGAATAAAAAAGTCTTAATAAAGAAAAAACAGCTCTGAACTAGTGTCCATAGAACAGAGAGCAAGAGAAAGGAAGATGGGAATTTTTTAAGTGAGAAGTAACCAGGTTTTTTAGGGCCTTACAGGCCTTACTAAGAACTTTGGATCATGGTCAAGAGAATGAGATAGCAAGTTGTAGAGACGTGACATTATTAAAGTTTTTATGTTTTGTTTCGGATGATGGGGTTGTAGGAGAGGCAAGTTTGAAAGCTTTCAGACCAATTGAACTAGTTCAGGCAAGGGGCAGAGAGAGACAAATTAGAGTACAACATGACACTGCAGGAAGTGAGGAATATTCTAGACACAGCTGGAAGGTAATGTGTGACAGTGTGTGCAGAGTTTTACATGTATGATCTGAATGAGTCCAAAGTTATCCCAATGTTGAGATCTGAGACACCCAGAAGAGAAGAGCCTCCTTATACTGAAGCGGTAGAGTGGAAAGCAGGGCCTGAGTAAGCCCTGAAGATACAGGGGTGCAGTTTGAATTGTGTTTGACTGAATTAGATCTAAAGTTTGATGTACATAGTGTAGACTGGGTTGAAAAGACGTTTAGGAGTTAGGGAAGGGGTAAAAGAGATAAAACTTCTAGACCTATCCAGACCCAAATAAGGATTAAAACCAAAGGACTAGCCAGGCATGGTGGCGCACACCTTTAATCCCAGCACTTAGGAGGTAGAGGCAGGTGGATCTCCGTAAGTTCAAAGCCAGCCTTGCCTACATAGTGAGTTTCATGACAGCCAGAGCTGTATAATAGAGAGAACTTGACTCAGCCCCTCCTCTCCCCTGCAGAAACAATAGACTACGTAAGTTCATTTAAGGAAGAGGTATAGCCAGAAACATTGTCAAGAACTAATCCTGAGTTGACCACGTCTAGACTAGAATATAGAAAAGACTAAAAAGAGGTAGCCAAGTCCAAGACCCAAGAGAATGACAGCCTGGATCCCAGCAGAGAGGCTGGGAAGGAAGCCTTACTCACGCTGCCCAATGTTGCTCCCACTGGACCTAAAACAAGCAATGAGGGATAACCAATGGTTGGCAGCAGAGAAGTCACTGGTGGCCTTGCGAAGGACCGTCAGTGGGATAGGGTGTGCTCCTGATTAGAGTGAGTTTGGGAGTTAGAACAAAGGAGAGGAAGTAACAACCTTGAGAATAGCATGGTTGTCTGAGAGAAGCCAAGGAAGATTCTTTCTGAAGATGCAGACACTATGTCTTGATGGGCACTGACCGGAAGTCAGGTGGAGAGGGAAACACCAAGGGTTCAGAGAAGAGCAGGCAATTTCAGAAGCAACCCTTTTTTTTTTTTCTTTTTAAATACAAGCTCTCACTATATATCCTGGCCAGGTCATTCTATCTAGACCAAGCTGGCCTTGAACTCACAAAGATCGTCCTTCCTCTGCCTCCAGAGTACCGAGATTAAAGACATGATGAGCCACTACACTTGGCTGGATCAACCTCCCGGAGGTCCACGGAGAGTGGAATGCAGGGATGACACAGAGGGCATGACTGTCAGGAACAGGCCGTTTCCTACCATTGGCGGTGAAGGAACTCGACCGCACGTGCAGGCTGGTCAGATGTCATACTGTGAAGAAAGACAAATTCTATTCCAAGCTCCACCTCAACCAACCAGAGTCCTAACTTACCTCAACAAGTCCATTCAGCCTACAAGTGTATAGAGGGCTTGATGGCACCAAGTGTGATGCTGCCTCTTTCCCGGGAGTCTTTCCAGCTATGCTGTGTGCTGTTCAACCTGAACTCCAAGGCCTTGAGGTCGTCTATGCAAGCACAGAGGGTCCCTTTCAACGTCTAACTTTATTGACAGGAAGAGAACTTTCCAGCCTCAGCCCACTTTTCTGCATTGCCTCCAGGGTAGTTACAACAACCTTGATGCCCGCCCCCCAAGGCTTGGGGGCATCAAAGCAGAAAGAATAGTGAGAAGAGAGCCCCACACCATGCTGACTCAGGTTAGGGTAACACACTATAGGATGGAATGTTCCCACACCCCAGTCATCTGAGCTGAGGCCTTGAGATTTAATCTGACTAATGGTTATTATCCAGATGCCTTGAGACAGCCCAGTC